TTTGTTTTTAAGATGCGTGCGAGAGTGATCTTAAATGCAGAACAATACAGAATCTATATTTATAAAATTAATACTTTGAAACTGAGTTCATTTATTAACATTTTTTATTAGGTCAGGTTATTCGTCAGGTTATTCTCTGGGAATCTTTTGTGGGAGAACTGAAAATGTGTTAATACAAAGTGAGGGCCTGGAAAAGGAATAAGTTTGTTTTTTGATATATTAAATTTTAATTTCTGATCATGGAAATATGATAGATAATGACTTCAACAAAATAAATAATAATTTTAAACGTTTTAAAATTTTACAGAATATTTATAGGTGTGTACACCTTGTACAACTTGTACAACATGTTTTTCCTAATTCCTTAAAAATTATCTGGACTGAAACTTCAAGTTTTCTTATTAAAATAGTAATTTTTAAGAAATTTACCCAATTTTTAAAGGAATGCCGCAGTTAACCATATACAACTATATGAACTATATAGATTGAGATTGTTTCCTTTTTAATGGATATCTTGCCGCGGATTATTGCCAGCTTGTAGCATTCTTTCTTATTTGCATTGCGCTTGCTTTTTAATTTCACACATGACTTCAAATCTGAAACAGTTTCCGCTTTTTGCGACTGGCTGCAATTGAAATTCATTTAGCTGCAGTCCGCAATACGCACACTAATGCAAACTAATGGCAATAAAAAATGTTTGTTGTTGCTAAAGTAAATATTTATCCAATTGCTTTGCTTTTGACTGCTGCAGTGTGGCTTTGAAATTGTTCACGCAGCCAAAATTTATGGTACGAGTACTATAGATAATAATGCCAAAACAAACAACTACAACAGAAGCAGCAGCAGCAACAGCAACAACAACGGAGCTACGCATAATTATTTCACATTACACATAAAATATGTTGCATAAAATGGTATTAACTGCAATTTGGTCAGCATTTTCGTTCATTAGCAACAGCCGCCGCCCAAAATACACAGAGCGATAATTTAGCTGGCCGCCGGGGGGTGCAGCCTGCAGCAGAGGGGCAGTAGAGGGGAGTCATGCTTGGGCATCCGGCCCTGCCTGCTGGTCATTCGATTGTTGTTGCCACTACGCATTTTGGCAGCAGTTGCATTTAAGTCTATTTAATTAATAATCGCAAAACAAATTGAACCAACTATTCTCATTCACGCACGCACACACTTCGCTTGAGTGTGCATATACGGCGAGCATAATCCTAAATAGGTATGAAGCATCCCCTGGGTAACCGACTCACAGATGCCATACACAAATATGTCGATAAATAGTCGTATTGATTTCCATTTCTATTAATAGGATGCAACTGAAATGATAAATGATTATATATTATAGCATTTTAATAATCTAATCCTCAATGAAGCAAACTATTTAAGTAAAAGAGTTCATCTAAAAGTTAAACGGACCTGCCTTTCACCTGCCTTTTTATTGATTTATCAATTGATAAAATTATGCTCTAATGATATAAACTAACTAAGCTAAAAGACATAAAAATTGTATCCTTGCTACTAAATTAAACTCGTATACCCGCTTTGCCTCGTATACAGCGTATACTGACAACCAGCCCAGTGATTATGTTATTAATTAATAATGTCATTGCAGTGCGCATATTTGCATGGAACAAAGTGATTTACTGCACAGCAATATCCGAGTGCACAGATGGGGTTATGGGAGTCGAGGTGAGGGCTGCATTAAGGCTGTTTGGCTTCATTTGTCTGTTTGCTCCAGCTACATATTTGATTTGGTTTCCAGTTGCATAATTGCCATTGGGCACAAACCTGCTCTTAGGTTAAGATTGGCAGGGTTAAGCTGAGATTGGCAGACAGGTCGAACACGAAATATTCTCTAGTTTTGTTTCTTAATTCGATGAACTTTAAATCCATTTTCAATTATGTAAAATATAAATTATGACTTATGAACCGGGCAGGACCTGAATATACCAGCTAGGTATTCTATAATATTGCCTCATACATTTAACTACCTTTTACCTTAACAACCTTTCTTACCAAAGCAAAATGAGCTTATCAGGCAAAATGGCCAAGCAATTATCTTAATTTTTTATCACTGAATGAAACTAACTAACGAGATATGCTAAATTACACATTAAAACATAATTTGTTAAGAGTAGCAAAAGAAAACGATGAATATTTCTTGGCACGCAAAAGCAAAACAAAAATGTGGTGCAAAGAAGTCGTTACCATTAACGTGAGGGACGAGAGCGCCAAATTCTTCCCCTGTGCAATTTAGCTTCTCATTGTTGGATCATAATTATACCGTTACCAAAAGGGGCACAGCGTGTATATTAAGCCATAATAATTTACATAAATTGAGAAAGTATTTCTCTACAGCTTATGTCATGCTTCATACCCAGAACAAGTCCTCTCATGATCCCTGTGTAAAAGGTGCATTTAATTATCTGTTAATTGTCTTACTTGAGGCCACAAGGAAAGGGTATTATTTAGTCGTTGACTGTCTAGAAGTCGGATGCGTACTCCTTGCGGCAAATTGCTTTGCGTTTATTTTTGAAAGAGCGCGGAAAATGCGAAATGAAAATTAATTATACTAAATAACCTAACACACACACACTCACACCGTAGCTTGACAGCATTGCGTGCCAATAAAAACGCACTTCAGCGGCCATTTTGAGATTATTTAAGTATTAGCGAGCGTAGATGAAGTTTTTGGAATTTGTGTTGATTGTTAATGTGCACTGTTTGATATAATATATATATATGTATATATATACATATGAATATTAATATAAGAAAAAATAACTGAGACAGTCTTGCTGACTGGCATTTATTTTGCCCTCCCCCTCTCCCCGGTGTCGTTTGCTCCCCATTTGAAAAGGGAATCACCGCACACATTTAAATGTCAATAAATCATAAACGACAAGCATGGAACCGTCCCCCCCCCCCATCCCTGCCTTGCCACAGGTTGAGCCACAACTTTTCACTTTAGACGACAAAGTTTTCGTTTGTATTTTTAGAAAATTTCTATAGGTATGTTGTATATGTGTGGCTGTTATTGGTAAGCTCAAAGAGGTCTTAAAGTGGATCACAACAGAAAGACAAAATGTTTATTTATGATAGGTACGAGTAAAATATGAGTGAAAACGTCTATACCAGTGTCTTAAGAATTTTTCGAAAAATTTGTATGCCAAACAAATTAATCAGCAAAATGTATGCAATAAAAAATGCCACACGCAATTAAAGGAAACGCAATGGTTAAATTAGGCCAGACACACACATTTAAAAATAATCAAATAATTAAATGTAAGCAGTGCGCGGCATGTGCCCAAAATAATAGAAAAAAAAATGGCCGAGATGCCCGCATATAAGTACGCGTAAGCCCCATTAAAATAGTCCATTTTAAGTACAAAAATGATGCTTTGAATAGCCATTAAAATTGCTCATAAGGTAAACACGCCGCCGATTTTATTGTTTATTAAGGAATTAGTGTACAGGCGCGGGCAATCGGATGAGTAATTGGTCAATTGTATATAGCCAAGTGTAATTACGGCCAAAAACGAGCGAAACGGCCAAACGTACTGCCAGCCATATATGTAGATACATGAGCAGCCCCTCATAATCCATCTTCATCGATAAAACAAACAATTTGCATACACATCAATCCATCGACAAGTACATTTCAATGATGTGCGTCTATTTTCAGCGCATATATTCGAAATTCGAAATATTTGGCAATCAATTAATTGATTTTCAATATGAAAATTAACGAATTTTTTATTTGTATACTTGAGCGTTTCCTCTGCTCGCATCGCCTAAGTGGGGGGAAAATTTTGTTTTGTTGTTTTTCATGTTAATTTCATCATTTTTACGGTACGCCGGCAAAATGAGCATGTCATATGACGGCATCTATCTTTGGCGCTTATTTTTGCTTCATATTCCGATCGTGAAAGTGTATGCGCGTGTGTGTGTGTGTGTCTATGTGTGTGTGAGTGTGTGTGCGCTTGCAGACATGCCGCTGAAATACTAATTATGTGCGCGATTTAAATAGATTTTTCATTTATTTAGCTAGGCCATCACTTTGGATGAAATGGAAATAAGAGGCAAATGTTTTATGTTGCGCCATTGACGCTGCCTGCCGAAGCGTCCCCGTTGCCCTGTGCAACATAAAGCACCACACTACACACACACACAGTCAGACACATACGCAGGCAGCGAATGTTGGGTGGGTGAGCACTGAATGGGCATACGAATGGAAGTGGATGATAGGCGGTTTCTGCATTTTGACAGGCCCACATCATTTCAACTTAGCTTGTTTTGAACTGTAGCTGACGTAGCGGAAGTGTTTGCGTACAGCGAATGGAATATGCGATACATAATTTTTAATTATTTGTTTTACGCACACTAATAAGGGCAAATGAGGCATAAACATTGCCTAATTATAACGAACTGACTCGTACAACTGACTCATATGTAGTATAAAAGTTCTTGAGGCGAACCGCATAATAGAACATATAAATATGTGAATAATATTTCATCCCAACACCAAAAATATGCATTTCAGTTTTTGGTTGGTAATCTTCATTGCATCGCTGACTATTTCCATAGCATATTTATTTTTTACGTGGATCTAGAATTACTTTACTTTCCTCCTCGACTGATGCGTCTTGATTTTCGTCATAACTTGCAAGAGTTCCTCATTGGAAAAAGGTTCCTCATCTAATGTTAAAATTTCAATAACATCGATCCTTCCGATGTCCCTTATATTAACGGTGGGTGTCGTGTCTACAATATCCTTTAGTATATCCTTATAAAGAGCCATGAACTGAAACTTTTGGCCGTAAAATTCGTTCGTTTTGCTTTCGTCCTATGAAACTTTCAGATATATCTTGTTGATATATTAACCCACAGTTTTTAATTAGAGTTAAAATGAACAAATCAATGTAACTTTTCCTTAAGTTTGTACTATGGTATTTGTAATTCCAATTAACATTCTAATACTTTTTTATTTACAGGTAAAAATATGGTTTCAAAATCGACGCACAAAATGGAAGAAGCAGGATAATGTCACAAATAACGAAGCTGCCGAGCACAAATCGTCCAAGCCCACAACCGCGGAGCAGCAGTCCAAAAACAATAGCAGCAGCAACAACAATAACAATGGCTCTGCTGAGGATGGCTCCCAGCCAACGTCTATCACGGCCAGCAATGTGGATGCTACACCAAAAAAGACGTCCAACGGCCATGGGGACAAGTCACGCGGCAACAACAACAACAGCAGCAGCAGCAACAACAACAACAACGCATCAACACCAGCCAAAGGCGGCAACGGTAATAATGGTGACAGCAAATTGCAGTCAAAGAACACGACGACCAAAATTAAAAGCAAGAATGCGTTGCTGGAGAAGATCGGAAAAGCCGCAAGCAGCCCAGCACCAAATGGAGCTAGCGCTAACGCCAGCGATTCGGCGGCGATTGCTGGCAACAACAATAACAACAATAGCAACAACAACAACAAAACAGCTGAAAAGCGCCATGCCAGCAACAACAATAATAACATTGGTGAGACATTTCATCACCATCGGCTGCACCAGCACGCTATACCGCTAACGGTGGAGCCTGCGGCACCTTTGGAGCAGACTGAAAAGCTGGACATAAAGCTGGAGGAGTCGCCAGCGCTGAGTCTGCAACGCGCAGCTGTTGCAGCTGCAGCTGCGCAGGAAAACGGACGCAGTTCCCCGTCAAAAGCGTTACTGGCTGAAATGGACTTTGAGAGCAAGCTATCTGCCTCAAAGATATCCATTGCAGTGCCCATGGTCAACACGAAGCAGCTGCCAAGTGAATCGGCCAAAATCGAAAGTGAATCGGAGGATGAGGAGACAGCCAGCGAGCCGGGCACCTCCACAGAGGCACAAGATTCGCAGGATAACGATATGCAAATGGGTTAGACTTCAATGCACACAGCCAGGCCCTAATCCCAAAACCTACACCTAGCCAGTCAAATTAACTTGTGCCAAAAAAGTCGAATATTGCTCAAGCACACGGCCAGCTTTCATTCAAGATTTGTTTATATTTTGCAATGATAAATGATGTGTGTGCTTGTTAGTTTAAGGCATTTACGCATATTTATGTAATTTATTGAATGTATGTATGTACTTGTATGCTTAAGCACTAATCTTAAGTATAGGCTTTGTAAATGTTGCCATTAGAAACGCATTTAAATGTTTAATGTGCTGTTTTAAAAATAAATCCAAACAAAAAACAAAAACAATATTGTAATTGTAATTTTAACTTTCGAAAATTTCATGTGATAAAGTATACGAAAGGGTAGAGTGAAAGGAAGCGCGTCAATAACAGCAAAAACAACAGACAACAACAATTGGTGAATTCATGTTAATTACAAATTTAATTTAACTACACTAACTATTAACTACAAGTGTTTAAGCAGAAACAGTCCTAAGTGTAAATTGCTACTACATATGGAAATTAAAAGAAAAATATACATATTTAATGTGAGTGTACAAAAAAAAATAAAAAGAAAACTATAACGCGCAGATCAGTAGCCGTTAAATATTTTCACTTCATAAATTAAAATAAACAATTCAGCAAATTAAATCATGTTTTCTTTTAATATGGGCGAGTGGTCGGCATGGCTTTGGCACATTTACCACGCCATCTGCGGTAATCAAAAACTCGGTAAATGCATTTGGAGTCTCGGGAGAGTACAGGACTTCTAGCTTGCGCACTGTAAGCAGCTGATCTCCCTGCTTGAACTGTTTGGGCACCTTGGATATGCGCATGCGTGTTCGACCTAGATTTGCCCACTGCAAGCCCAAGCAAGGCACATCCTCCAAAGTCTTCTGATCCGCCTTCTCACTAGAAGTCATTTGATTGGAACACAGCACTGCACAGTCGTACTTATCCGCATAGCTGAGTAGCGCATGCACCATGCGGCGCATATCGCGCGCACGCTGCTCGAAGTCGGTGTATAGGCGAAAGATAGCGGCCACCGAATCAATGATGATCAAGCCAATGCTTTGCTCCTGCAGCAGTTGCGGCAGGCGATTGCTGATGCAGTCAAGCAGTGGTTGCTGCAATGCACAGGATGAGCTATGTGAGGATCACTTGAATATACACTGCATAGCTCACGCTTTCGTATTGATGCTCAATATAGATGTTACCCAAAAAGTTAAGCTGCTCCTCCGGATAGCGTGCCTCAAATGCTTTGCTAATCTGCAGCAAACGCCGGGATGGAAAAGCATCTTCAGTGCAGATGAAGGCCACGCCTTTGCCCAAGCCGCCTAGTCTCGGTGGCAGCTGCACACTGAGCGACAGCTGCAGGAGCACCTGAGATTTTCCCACGCCTGAGGCTCCACAGATTTCAGTTATGCCACGTATCGAAACACCGCCGCCAGTGCACTGATCTAGCGAGGCACAGCCAAAGGTCACACGTGACCACTTCAAGCGAGCGGGTATTTTAAATAAAGAATCCGCTGGGTGATAATGCGCATAATTTAAGTACTTGATACATGTATAAACAGTCAAGCGAGTGTCCTTGCGTTACCTGATACAGGGGTTTCTGCAAGCCACTTGGCAGCTGCGTCCTTTAAAATGCGCACATCCTCCGGACTGCATCTATGCACACAAGTTTCCAGGTCACAGGAGCGGGTGTCCATGAACTTAATCCTAGGCGTGGTTAATATTGCCTCGGGAGTGAGCACATTTACTAAGTGAGATCATTAGGTTCAAGCACTTTAAACCTAGCAATAGAGCTCTTACCCCGCTCGGCAAGCTCCTGCAGATGCTTGGGCAACTGCTCCAAAAAGTTCGACATCGTTGAAGGCCTTTCAAACCAAGTGTTAGCATTTGAATTATATGACTTGCGTGTGACCCCAACACGTAAGATGTCTCAACACCTATAAATTATCGCCTTGGCAGCGAATAATTATTGATTCAACAAAACTTATCAGAACAAATTTTGCGAAGTGCAGCAGTGCAGTGCGAAAGAGGAAAGGGAAATGGTAAATGGTTTCTATGCCCTAAAAGGAGATAGCTAAATAAAGACGATGCGATGTCTTGCAAGAGAGCATCCCATTGCAAAAAGGCCAGCTGAAAAAACAATATACCACTCACTATTATATGTTTTACATAATTCCTTTTTTTTAATTTGCTCAATTTTAGACAAACTTCAGATAAACACACAAACACGATCGATAATTCGATAGTCTAAGAGCAACACTGTCCGATCGCTTGCGCCTTATGGAATTTGGTTGTTTTTGTTGTTGCCTGATTTTGTTGCGAACAGTTGTGGTAGCAATTAACTTAAACAAACAAAAGATGCGTTCTAATGGGAGCGGGGCTTCGACAGTTCCGCCAGAGCCCTAGCCTCGGCCGCAGCGCTACGCTTCTTCTCCTCGGCCAATTTGGCATCGCGAACGGCCTTCTGTTGGGCTTCAATTTCGCGCACCTTCTCCTCCTTCTTTGACAGCCGGCTTTGATGGGCAGCACCATAGGCAATGCCTACAATCAGCAAGGACCATCTTCCGAGCTTGATAAGCGGCGAGACACGAACTGGAGCCTGAGACATAGCTGGTTAGTTATGTAATGAGCAGACTAATATCTGCAAGGAAAAAGAATGTGTCAGTTGGCTGATTAATTACAAATGCAAACTGGCAACTCATTTCGTTTGCGCGAAATAAATAAACACATATTGTTTTAAAAGGCATATTTACCAATAAATTTTACGAATTCAAGTCCACTACAATAGTAGTATAACCTTAAAGCAGCTGTCAGACTGACAAGAACGCAATCGATATACTAAATATCGAAAGTTCCAGTGCTGTAAAATACTTTATTCTCTATTTGCAGAATGTATTTTGCTTGAATTTTAATACAATGTACACCAATTTATGTATTTTAAAACATACGATTTACAGCAAAGTTTTTGTTTGAAATGTCAGTTATTATTGATATTATATCAATTTTTCACACATCAAAACAACTTAGATTGAAAACGGTTGTTCAATACATTTATATTACTATGCTTGGCTTAAGAAAGGAACTAAATACATTCTAAAGAATTAATGGGAAATATAACTATGTATTCTTGAAATTGTACATCACAAGCATTTTGCTTATGAGTTAGTTACTTTTGGTACTGGTCTGCCACAGTGACTCGGTACCTGTAATAGCTCGTGACATGCCACACATCTCTAGGTGTGAATGTCAGAACTAAGCCTGGAAAAAATATGTTTAGTTAAAAACATGGCGAATAATACACATAAAAACGTTTGATTTATATTTTTTATTCCAAAATCATTACGCAAGTGACACATAAGTAATACACTTAAAGCCCAAAGTCGACGCGTGTGTGTAACATAAAGTCAAGCAAAAAATTCCAACACAGACCTTGAGTGGGCTCACAAATACACACACACGCACACAAGACCTATACACATACGTAGGTAAACGGGTTGAAAACGTCACAGCGACCAGCGCGACAGTTCCTGAAGTGTTTGCAGCTGCTGTTAGCCAAATTAGCACGACAACAACAACAACAAGAATTGCCAGAAATTGGAACAAAGGACACACAAAATGGTAAATGTACCGCCGCCACTCTTGTGCAGCACCCCACCCCCGATCGACTTTGGTGAGGACGACGACGATTCGGGGCTCCAATCGACACTCCACTTGGAAGACGGCGACGCTGACGAATACTCTGAATATGGATTAGTCACCGATACGCACGTTGCTGCGCTCAATGCAAAAGGTAATTGCTCTTTAAAGCTACTCTATTCGAAGTTTATTAACGAAGCGCGTCTCCCCCTTGCAGTGCCGCCGCTGCCAGAATTGCCCATATCATCAGCAGAGTACACCGCACACTCGCTGCCGCCTGATCTTAGCAATGGCTCTGTTAAATCAGTTGCACCTACAGCGGAGGCTTTTAATTACCAAGTAAAAGCACCCGACCTTGACCTGGCAAAGGAGCAGCAAATATCAGCACCACAAGGCAACGATGTGGTAGATGCCACTTTGGAGCAGGGGGAGTTTCTAGACGTGGCAGAGCAGCAGCTGGAGGTGGAAGATGATGAGGAGGAGGAAGCTAATACCAATGATAATGTGCCCTCGCTTAAACTGGACAGCCTAAGTCTATACTCCAGTGAAAGTGTTACGCCTCTCAGCACCTTATCGCCAGTAGCTGATGAGCAGGCAACCAAAGCGCCCACTGTATGTCACCAGGTGACGCTAGAGGATGTGTCCGATGACAGCGACGAGGAGTGTTCGCCAAAGAAACCCAAAGAACTATTCATACCCGAGGGTGCCGATGACTTTTTTGCCATAGAGATTGTGCAAACGCCCACGCAGCAGGCGCCTACGTTGCATAACCAAATGCCTGATGTGAAGCCTGAGTCTGACTTTGCTGCGTTCCGCGAAGTAGCTTTCACAGAAACGCCGCAGAATGAACCAAATGAAAATATAGACGAGGCTGAGGCTCAGGCAGAAGATGATGACTTCGGCGACTTTGCGGACTTTGCTGCAGCTCCAGTGGTGGTTGAGCCACAGGAGCCAGTGACGACCACCAGTCAGGATGATGGCTTTGATGATTTTCAGGATTTTGTTACGCCAGCTGCACCAACGCAGGCAGCCGCAGAAGACGATGATGATGACTTCGGCGACTTTGCGGAGCCATCATTTGAGAGCGCTCCTGCTGCGGCGGCGCCCACGCTACCACAACCACCACCGCCAGCTGTTGCACATCTAAGCATTACCGAGCGTGTGAAGCCAGTGCTGGATATTATGTTTCCCAATCTTGACTCGAGTTGTAAGCAGTCTGCAACCAAGCACGCACCGCTAGCTGAGACGCAAACATTGCATTTCGGTGGCATTGAGCAGGCGCACGCTCTGGACTATCAGTGGTCAAACTCAGAGATGCGACATTCCTTGGTGCGCTCACTGGCCATCGATTCGCGTAATATTGTAAGTTAAAATATATGTAACTTTTGCTTTGTTAAGCTAATCCCTCTTTTATACGCAGCTCTTTGGCGACAAGTGGAACGCGTCTATGCCCCGATTCGCGGCCAATTTGAGCTTCGATCCTCTAAAACCACTCAAACCGTTGTCTGCAGCGCCTGGACCGAACCCTTCCTTGCCGGACGCCCAACAGGCGCCCATGACCAGCTGGCGGCCCACGACCAGCAGCTCCAATCAGCATCCACTCCCGGGTAAGTTTCTAGACGCATTGCACACCCTACACTACTTAGTTGCCGAAAATTAACCGCTACACACGATTCTCGTAACCAAAATTGCCACCGCCTCTCGTTCGCTCTTTCCTGAGACAGTTTTGTTGATCCACATGCTTTCGCTTTCCAACTGAATAAACAATTGGCCTGCCGTTTATTGGCTGCTCTTTCTCTTTTTCGTTTTTTTTTACATGCGTTTTTCTTATTTTCCTTTAATAAAACGTTCTTGCAAATTGTTAACTCTTCGGTAGACCGAAGTTGCCATGCCCTTGCAGATATAATTCAATAGATTTTTGCGAAACACAATTATTTCAATAAATGCATTAAGCTTTTATAATATTTCTGTTAACACAAGGTTGAGATTAGTGCCAGCATGCCACAGTTTTACAGATGCTTCACATAAAACAATAAATTGTTCTCTAATGAACTGAATCGGGCGCAGATGAGTTCTATATTTTATAGAAAACCCAACAAATTATATTTTAATTATTTCCTTAAAAATTGAAAACATTTCTGCTATCGTCCAAAACTAGTTAACCCAACAGCTTATAGTGGTTAGACATTATATCATATCACTTGCAGGACTAGATTATTAAACCCTTATCAAATGTATTTAATGACGAAAAGAATATAAAAGCATGATGCCTTGCAGCTTGACTTGAGACTTGATAGGAATTTATCTTCTGCAAGGGTATTAACGGGCAAAATCCCGTTATTTTCACTTGTTTCTTGTGCCCAACATTTTTGTACTCAAATTTATCCTTATGATAAATTGTATTTAGAATCACATGTACAGACTTTACAATTGGAACAACAACAAATAGACCAAGAAACGATGGTGGCTAATGCTGATAAAATAAATCTTGTTACCTCTAACTACTCCCACAACGTCAACAATAACAACAACAAATCTCACGATGCCTTGGATGCGCAACTGCCACTAATGGAACTACTCAATGATAATGATAATGACAATATGACAATCAACCACAACAACAACAACAATGCCAATGCCAATGATATGCACAATTTTGTTACACATTTTGCCACCATCTGCAACAATAACAATCATGCAATAACTACAACCACAACAACAACAACAAACACTTATTTCACTGCTCACTGCGCCTTGCTGGATCTTAGTAAGTTTCGTTGACTCCGTGCTCCGTGTTGTAGTTGTGTGAACTGTTTTTTATACTGTTTTTTTTTTTTAAGTCTTTGCAACTCCAACTATTTCTCCTCAATTCTTGTTACCTCTCGCTGCCAAACACTACCACCCCCCACATCCAACTACTGCACTCGTGAACCCAGCATTTTAGTACTAATGTTGTGCATTTGTATATGCCACAAACTATTGCTGATTTCCCCATATTAATCCTGATCTTTTGTGTGGTTCACAGGACTTGAAGCAGCCACCGCAGCAACACAGACGAGCCAAGCTCAAGCGCAGCCTAGCCCTGCTTATGGGCAAGGCGCGACCAACGACGCCAACTGCAGCTCCGATGAAACAAATGACACCTTGCCCGCCGCCGCCTGCCTTGATGACACCCCAGCAGCATCATCAGTATTTGCTGCTGCAGCAGCAACAGCGCCGCTATCGCCTACTCTACCAACAGACGGCAATGGCCACGGCTTCGACGACGCTGAGCAACTCCCTCAGCAGCAGCAGCAGCTTGATCTGAGAGAGTCACCGTCGCCATCACCATCACCGCCACCACCACCCACAGTCAACAGCCAGCAGTTGCATGAGGTCACCACCAGCAGTTGCAGCAGCAGCAATAGCTTTACGCTGCCGCTCAAGGAGACGCATATTTATACACCCTCCAAATCAGACACAGCGGTGGCCAAAACCACAACCCTTCCGCCCATTGATTTCGACTACGAGATTGCCTCCGCTGGTATTATTATAGATGAGACGGTTGTCAAGAAGGAATATCGCGATGTGGAATACAAGCCACCGCCTTACGGCATCGACTCGCCCAGCAAGCTGAGCGCCTCGGGCAAACCAACAACGGAGGATGATGATTTCAGTGATTTTCAGTCTGTACCCGCCGTCAAAAACGCCGCGCAGTTGCAGCCGCCACGCAACGGCACGCCCACATTCGGGGAGCAAATGATACTCAGCCCGGCCATACTGTTGCCTCAGTCAATTCCATTGGCCAAGCCCAGCATTGAGTGGGGCGACAATGCGCTGGCCAGCATCAATGCTGAGGAACTGGCACGCATCGAAGAGCTGTTCTCGCATCAGTTCAAGCCCCCAACGATAAGTGCCAGCGTGGCACAACAGTCACCCAAGCAGCAACAGAAGCAGCATCACGAGGATGATGAGTGGTCGGATTTTGTTTCCGTGCCCGTGCAACAGCAGCAACAAAACAACCACAACAACAATGTGTTGAATGTGCAGAGAGCACGAAAGGCACAACCAATTACAGCTGCATCCCAAAAAGAGGATGACTGGTCGGACTTTGTGAGCAGCACAGCGTTGCCTGTGCGCGCTGCGCCGCAGTTTAATTCGGGCGCCTGGCAGAGCGCCAACTTTTACAATAATCCGCTGAGTCTCTATCAACAGCAACAACAGCCGCATGCTCATAGCAATCTAGTGCCCAAATATCCAAGCAGCAGCAGCAACAACAACAACAATAATAATGTACCACAGCAAGTTCATATGATGCACGACTTTTCCACAGCACCGACAGCAACAGCCAACGGAGTACCCGCAACTTATCAGCATCAGCATCACCAACACCACCAGCAACAGCTGCAGCAGAAACAGCAACATCAGCAGCATCGCCAGCAATTTCATTTGAGCAATGCGAAGGTGGCACCACGCATATCCCTAATACCCGATCTGAGCTTTGTGGCGCCAGCATTGCCCACCAATGCGGGTGCGTTTATGAGTTCGCTGCCCAAGCCCAGTTTTAGTGCCAAGAAATGACAAAAGCTGCGCAACGCGAAAAAGTTGCGGCCGCAACAGCAGCAGCAGCAATCCACAATGTTGTTGGTGCCGCGGGCACGCCCACTCGTAGCCGAGGCGAGCATCTTGACGTAGGCAACGCGTCAGTCAGTATTATGAATCCGTCTAGATATTTGCTATATAAGTTTAACATATATTGTGAGAGCAACTGCGAGCAATTAGGCTCTTGTTATTGTTAATGTGCGTGTTGCTGTTGTTGTTGTCATTGTCATTGTTGTTGTTAGTCGTAGAAGATAACTGTAGTCAAAGCAATGAAAACCTACTCGCGTCGAAAATGAACTCTAGTGCAATATTGTGTATAAAACTTAAACTGATTATATATTTGTAAAATTTAAGAATTATTTGATTAATCTGGCCGAAAACTTAAAAAACTCAGCAATTAGTACTAGCTTTTAGTTATAGCCTCTTTATTATATGATTATTGGATGTGTTTAGACTGTATAGAATGTTTCATAGAACGTTGTGAGCGATATTACCTCTACATTTAGCTATGGCGACTTTAACTAGGTCAGTGAACCCCAAATGCCTTTAATTTGCTTTCCTGTTTAACAAGTTCCCCAAAGTATAATTAATATATGTTTGTCCTTTTAATATAACTTTACGCAAGCCGAGCTTATTATTATTATTTTTTTATAGCCCAGTTTTGACCCCTTACGAGTTGGCTTGAGTGAATGCTTGCATAGGACCAATGAGTTTTGTTAATAATCATCAATTTTCACAAATTGCCCCAGCCATTCCATAGTGTGTTATATATTTTAAAAATTCAACAAAAACGTAACCCGCCTAAGCATATATTTTCTATGTACACCTATATACTTACTTGAGTGTTTGTAATGTAATATTATAACTTATAAAATTTGTTACGTTTGATCAAAAAAAGATAAAATTAAAAAAAGCGCGTGCATTCCATGTGTAGTCATAGTTTGCCATGATCTCCAAAGTGAAAAAAAGATAAACAATTGGCTTCAGATTTTTTGTGTTAATGTTTTTATTTATTTTCGCTTCATGTTTGTTTGTGTTGTGAGTGCATGTGTGTATGAAAGTAAAACAATTATAAATTACAAACTAAATTCCAATCGATGCTTTAGACGTAGACTTAACTGTAAATTACGCAATCGTGTGTGCTTTGTTTTCATTTTGCTAATCAAATTTTAAACAAATATTAATGATATATAAAATGGTTTTGCGCTTTGAATTAAAATCAATGTATTATGTGCTACAAAATTATATTATACAATTAATAGATAATGAACTGTATAAATATATATGCGCAGAGTATAATAATAATAAAAATATATATAGTAATTGAAAAAAACAATTTACGTTTATTTGAACCAAATTTTTGTTGCAATACAATCTTGCGTTACTTATCAAATAAGTTTGTGGGGACGGGGGGCGGCGACGGCATATATAATTAGATTCATGATTCTACTAGGAGACTCGCTGCAAGGCGTGTTGGAGTACTTGAAACCTGCTTATAGGAAGCTCATTGGGTGATGCGCACAGAGAAACACCGGATGATATCTATTTCTCAGGCACTCTCTCAGTAAGTAGGACTCTGCCAGTGAACGCTACAGGAAGCCTCGTTAAACGCGTGTGTTAAGAGATGTTGATGCAATAATTATATATTAATATCTAGTCAGGGGTTTTTTTTTTGGATTGGGATTGGCGAGGTGCACGGGGTGTATATAGATAGCACTATGGCAGTAAATAGTACATAATTATTAGCAATATTACATATATATACCTAGTCCTATATAAATAGTGTGTACGATTTCAATATAAATGTGAATGCAATGTTTATGTCATAATCATCAGCTTCAATCGCTTCAACTTCGTCTAAATGTTCAACAGTTTCATAATCGATGCCTTACAACAAAGGAAAAACGCTAACAGATCCAAAAATATGATGATGATGCTCTCTATCCTTTACGATATTTTGCACTAACAGTTTTTTTCTTTCAATTTTTCATTAAAGAATATCTATGCTACTATTATTTATTTAGGTAATGACAGTTACCATGAGCCAATGGCTCAGAATGCCAGCCACGGATGATGGAGCAGCGACTCCTTGGAACGATCGCCATAGTCATATGTTAACTCCTCGCCGGGCTCAATGTCATCTTTGGCCAGCAGCACCAAATGTGGTCGCTGCTTGATGACAACCACTTTGGTCATCAAATTGCCGTTACGCGAGTGATTGATAAGGCGACCAAACTTGCCGGTGTCAATAGTGGCATCGATGCAGTACTGCTGGTTCTTATGCTTAAAGTAGTACATATAGCAGCCAGCATTCTCGTCCAGCGCGTAACGACGCTCGCGTTCAGTGGCCTCGCTGATCGCAATGAGATCACCCACATATTCGACGACAAACTCGTTACGCTTGAACCGACGTATAGCGACAACGCCCCGCCCCTTGCCCATAAAGTGGCGTACCTGCAGACCCTCGCAGCGCTCCTCGAGCACGGCCTGCTCCAATTTTCGCATCATTTCCTCTTTGACGGCCGTTTTAGTTTTGCGAACACTGCGCCGCACCGGAAAGAACTCGGTCATCTCACGATTGCCATTTGTTGCAGCCAGCGGTTGGGATTTGGCCGCCATGGTCCTGGCCTTGGCCGGTTTGGTAGATGCCTTTGGCTTGACCGTTGCTGCTGCTACTGCAGCCGGTTTGGGCATTGCCTTGGCTTTGTTCATATTTTCACGCTCCTCTGCAGCCTTCAGTAGCGCATGCACATCATCCTCATCGTCTTCACCGTCGTCCACCAAAACGACATCTTCACTTGGCGCTGGGCTGGGCTGCTGGTAAGGCGCTTGTGGCTTTGGCTGATTCAGTCTTCGTCGCGACTTGCACGCGCTGCTTGCGGCCAGCTGCATTTGCAGTTTACGCGGCGACTTGCGAGGCGACAACGCATCGCCCTTCAGCAGCACTGTGTCGCGCGGCATCGTCTTGATAGGCGAGGGGCATAGTATGCGGTGTGGAGTCGCGGGCTTACGTCGTCGGTTGCCCGCCACCGCAGGCGATGTGCCAGCCGTCAAGCAACAGGCGACGCCACTATCGCAGGAACTGCTGTCATTTTGGTCCAACTCAAAACCGCTCAGCGGTTGCTGCAGCTGGTGCTGTTCTTGTTCATGCTCTTGCTCCTCTCCGTGCCCATGGCCATTGAGCGTAACAATCTGATTGAAGCGACCGTTTAGCACGCAAGAACTCAGCACAGAAGGCGGTGATGAGAATACGGCACTTGCCAGCTCGAAGCTTTTGTTAATGCGAATGCTGGAGGCCTTTGTGGGCGTGCGATCGATGTCCAACGTCAGCACTGGCTCCTGCAGAAATATATTATCGGAAGTCGCAGCGCTGCTGCTGCTGCTGCTATGCGACGAGCTGTGACTGTCGCGCAGCGTTGAGCGATGCGTCTGAAAGGCAGCCGTGTTTGTAGATGTGTCTATGTGTGGGTCTGTTTGTGTGTGAGTGTCTACTTGTATGCGTGTGGCTGTGTCTATAGGAGTGTAGTTACTGCCCAGCTCGGAGCTGTTGTCGGTTTCCAGATCATCGTTTGGATAAGATGGAGAGCTGGTACTAGTGGAAGGCGACTCTATGGAGTGTGCGTCATACAGGAGAGATTCCTCTTCCTCCAATTCGTCATCTAAGGCGCCATTTATTGTTATTGTCTTTTGCTCTGCTGTTGTAGTTGTAGCTATTACTGTATCTGATAGAATAGTAGATATTTGTTGGCTTTTTGCAGCCGCATTCGCTTTAAAGAAGTTTTCAATGGTGCGTGTTTGCGAACGCGTTGCCAATTGAACACCTATGCGGGAGGGAGGGCAGGCTGTGAGTGTGCTAAAGTTAACCTCAAATTGCACTCAAAAAAAGCTTACCAATTGTGCGGCCAGTTTCAGACTTGGTTGAGTTGCCATTAGCTTTGTTGTTGTCTTTGCTGTGACATTGTAAATCTTCCGTCGCATTGAGATTTTCATGCGTTTTCATAAGACGGCAGTCTTTTCGCTTGGGGCTGGCAAAGTATTGATCATCCAGCAGATTATTGGTGGCCGCCGCAGCCACGGCGCTGATTGGTTCGCCATTAAACGGCAGGGCCAACGTCGCGTTGCTGTTTGCGTCGACCCCGTTAGAGGTAACCACCATTAGGGCGGGCTCTTTGGCGGGCCGTGCGCGTCTGCGAACCATTATCATTTAAGGTTTAGGTTCACTTTGGGGTGCCACACAAAAATAAGGGGATGGGAATCCGTCGTTTTAATAAATTACACTAAGGCAGCAAGTTTGTAGCACACGCACACCAAGATACAGAAACGGAACACAGACTGCAATTTGCATAAGTAGAAACAAAACGAGGCATTAAACTTTTGTACAATATTTCGGCCCCGCGTTGCGCCCTCCCGCTCCAACACACACACACGCAAACGCAACACAACAGAGCGCGTACAGTTTTTGCCCCTCGACAAAAATATCGTTCTGCTGTGTGTTACTGCTGTTGCTTGTGTCGCACGAAGCAAAGAGGAAGACAACAGCGAAAGAATGATATGAAGCAGCCTGCTCGTTGCGCCAGTGAGGCTGAGCCAGAGGCCTACCTATTTAATTAGTTGAAAACAAATTTTTTGGTCATACGCGGCAGCGCATGTTTTTCGTTTTACACTGTTTTTTGCACATTGCTATTAATTATGCCGCTGCGTTGTATTTTTTTTAAGACATTCATATGCACTTTTCCTTTTCCGCAAACTTTTTTTGTGTGTGGTTCTTTTATTCCGTTTTGCAGTAGAGTTGTTGATGTCTTATCGATACATGTTAAATCGATATCTGTGTAGATCATGCGAGTAGTGTTCATTACAATGGTCATTAGGAAAATTTATATGAATATAAAAAGTTGAAATTAAATAAATTTTTTTTAATTTGTGCTTTTTTTTTACAAAAGTATAATAACATTCAATAAACTTTCAAAATGGAAGAAATTTAATTAAATATTTAGTTAGCGTTTTCCAGCACTAGCCTGATTGGCGCGTAAACTATCGGTAGACTATGTTAGCGACGCTTTAGCTTGTTTACATACTATATATCTATCGATAGTAACAGGCCGATGTACCATTAGCATCTCAAACGCCAAGCGAAATTCGCAAGGCGCGCGTGAAAATTATATTTTTAAGGAAATTAAGTGAAATTTTAGTGTAAAAGGCTAATTAAAGCTAGTGCAAACGTTAATAAAGTTGCCAACTGCATTTTTTTATTGAGGGCATATTATAGTGCGTAGTTTGTCACCGATTACATTTGCCTGCTTGCAAAAAAATTGGGCGCCTTTTATTGGTCACTGTCTGTTACCACTCAGTCCGTTGCGTGCCCTGTGCTGCTCCTTCGCGCGCGCACACACACACAAACACATTTACACACTGTTATAATAATATAAAAACGAGTTCAGGAACAAATAGGCAAAAATGCCGATTTGCAAACGCGACGGTTTTGATCTAAATCAAACAGAGGGCAAAAATGAAACATTCCACGACAACGACTTGGTCTTCTGCTGTTATATTACCAAGCGCATATTCCGCGATTACGAGTAAGTCGAATGCTTTAGCCTTAATTTGGTTTGCCTTTTATCAGATGCTGTTTGCTGCAGCAGTATAGCAATGACAAAGCAAACATTGCGCTAAAGTATACAACAAAGCGAAGATGATGAACGCATGCTTCGACCAAGCGATACATGCAAAAGCAAAAACATTTTGTCAGCTTGGAAGGTGTCGGTAGCGGCGGCAGTGGAAAGCGCGCGAATATAAGTCACAGCTGCTATTAGCAGCGTTGCCACCCTGGGTGCTTTTGATTTTAAACACACAAATATTAGATATGTTTATTCATAAATAATATATATTTGTAATATTGATTCTAACATGTAAACAACATCGGAGTACTCTTTCAATTAGATTTGTTTAAGACATGCGTTGAAATTGTAGTTTTTGTATATAAAACATTGTGTTTTCTTTGTTACTAACTAAAACATATCAACACCAATATCAAATAAAAATAAGGTTTTTTATAAAAAAAACGATTGTGTTGAAGATATGCGGAAACATAAGGAATAAATATCATTAAAATCGGCTTACTGTTCTACTTCATTTCAATTAAAGAATTGTTCCGCTGAAAATGTAGAGAAAACTCCGTTGTGAGATCCAAAAAATAAATATATTGTACATTTGTTATATATGTCCTCGACACACTAAAGATAACTTCATATTTTTAAATTAAACTATAAAATACTATAAAGTAGTTCTAGTTTCTCAATTGAAACAATAATCTTAAAGCTTTAATCCAATTGTTGCACATTTCCAGAAACTATTTTCGACATGTTATGGCCATAAACTCGACGGTGTGGCAATGTGAGGCCACTGGTAAGGATGGCCTCACCTACGAGGAGGCGGTGAAGAGCGAACGCGTTGCACGCAAAAAGATGGAACAGTTTAAACAGAGCTTACGTGCCCCCGTCCTCCTAGTTATTGAACATGCACGCCAGTCGGCTGTCAAGACGCTTAATTTGATTGTGTCCAAGTTTCTGCGTAAACGCTTCTTTCTCAATGAAGAGGTGACCGTTACAAACAAGAAGAACACAGTTTTCAAAGTGGTGGGCATTAAGGCGAGTGGAAACATACCAGAGCCCGGTAACGGCATTTACGAGGACACCGAACAATTGGAATATCGTTTACGTGCGCCCAATGGTAATGAAATTAATGCGCCCTTCGAGCAGTTGCGTCGCCAGCGCGCCGAGTTTAACCAAGAGAATTTGGCCATGTTTATCAAAAATAACGTGATTCGTGTGGATGGAATTTTGCGGCCTAAGCCAGAGATCTATAAACAATATGTGACCGAGCCGAACATCAACTTTTCTAGCATCTTTATTGGCAAAATGCCGCGCTACTCGCCGGCGAAAATAAAGCGACCTGAAGCTAAGGATACCAAAAAGCAATCGACACTAAACAAGTACATTGTTAAGGGAGAAGAATCGACTGTTAAGAGCAAGGCCGATACCGAAGCCAAAGCGAAATTACTGGCCGAAGAAATGGAGCGCATTCGTCTTGAAAAGCTAGCCAAATGTGCGGCGATGGAGCGAGAAAAGGCACAAAAAAAGGCCGAATTAATGTTGCGTGTGGAGCAAGAATGCTACGATCTGACAACCAAAACGGATGATCTAGAGCGCAGCGATCAGTCCGTGTTGCCCACGTATCATCCACTTGTAACATTTCTTCCGGATCAGCTTTTGGGCGATGCCTTCATGCTGCGCGAATTTATGCACACATACCGTGGACTGCTTTCCGGCGTAGAGGTGTTTCGCCAAAATCTAAGTTTCTACGAAATGTCGCGCGCCTTTAGCGCACGCGAGGTGGCCGGTCCACTTTCCGACATACTGCTTGTGCTGTTGGGCACAATTTTTGATCTGCAAAAGGAGGAGGAGGAGGAGTGCCCGGTGGCATACGCGCTTGGGCGCACGCCGGCAACACGGGAGCCCTACATCAGCATGTATAATGCCTCGAATTCCCATCGATATGCCAAGCGGCATTTCTCCTTTAATCTGAACGAACTGCCGCTGGACGCGCTCACCTTGAGCGAGGTTCTACGGCTGCACTTGTTGGCCTCAGGTGCGGCTGTACTAGAAAAGGCAGAAAAGTGGCGCATTATGTACCGTAATGGCTACTCATCGCGTGAGGATCCCGGTCTGCAGTTGCGCCTGCAGCACACTCACATTTTGCGTGCCCTCAAAACCAATTGCATTGCTCAGCTGGAGTTTGAGGACATTATGCGTATTATAAACTGCCTAATGGCGCAGATCTTAACCTACTCCGGCACTATAAACGTCGTTGAGGAACGCATGGAGCGGACGGCCAAGGCGAAAACCGAACTGCGCGCCTTGATCATTGCCGAGAACAGACGCCTGGCTGCAGTCGAGCTGACCAAACGTAAGCTAACCAACGAGCACCATCAGCAGTGCCTGACAGATGAGGTAAAACAGGATGTGGAGAAGAAAAAGGCGCTGGGTGAACAGCTTAATCGCCGCATTGCCGATTTGCTGGCACAGTCGGATCGGGAGCAGCGCAAGCACGAGCAGCAGGTGCTCAAGCTGCACTCGGAGCTGTTTAACTTTTTGGTCTACTTGGGCATGGATCGATGCTATCGCAAGTACTATGTGCTGGAGTCCATGCCGGGCATTTTTATAGAACATTCGCCGGATAGTATGATGGACACGTGCCTAGCCCAACCGCCGGTAAACAAGTCGCCCGCCGAGCTGCGCAAGCAGGCACAGTTGCCAAAGGTGCGCAAGGATTTGCGTATTTATTTGGTAAAGCTATATAGCGAGGAAGATAAAAAGAGGCGCAAAGCAAACAACAAACAATCGCTCGAGAATAAAGAGAACCAAGAGAATCGGCTAAATGGCCACGGACAAGGACAATCGGGGGAGCAGATGGATGTGGCGGCCGGAGACGACGAGGAGCTGTCTCCACCTACACAATTCGAGCTGCTAATGTGCAGTGGCGATAGCGCCAACTGTATTGTCCATGATGAGCACCATCCACAGCGAAAGGTCTGGTCGTATATCTACCAGGCTGAAGAGATTGATGCATTGATAAGATCCCTGAATCCGCTCGGCTGGCGGGAATCAGAACTGCTGGACGAGCTCACTCAGCTGCGCTCTCTAATCGAGCAGCATGTGAAGAGCTGCCCGCAGGAGCTGCTCAGCCTGGACACCGAAAAGAAGCGCAACAAGTTCATCAGCACCATGCACTCGGAGACGCAGCGCAAATATAGTCAGGCTAATTTCGGCCTGCCTGAGGGCACGGAACTTAACGAGGTTTTGCGATTGCATCTCGTGGATTGTATTCTGCAGTTCGAGACAGACATTTACACCGGCGACTTGGGCAGGCTGAAGATCAAGGACATGGAAAAGTGGCGTCAGCAGCTGCTGCAGGATGACTTTGATGCTCAGTGCAAGTTGCAGTGGGGACCTCCTGGTCTGATGTACAGCGATGAGGTAGCCGCCGATTCGGACAATGAGTCGCACGAGGACTACGACGACCAAGATGACGATAAAGATGAGGATGCTATATTTTTGAACCAATATGCGCGAAAGAAGTATGGCAAGTATCGGGATCCAGGTCAATACATTAGCCAAAGCCAAGACGCGTCATCAACCGAGTCCCAGACACATCGGACTCAAGTTCGCAACCTGGCCAGTGCGCTGCTGCAGGTAGAGCAAGCGATTGGACGTCGTTTTCTAAAGGAGCCATTCGGCTTCAACAAGAAACGCCAAGACACCAAGCACGATCAGCAGAAGCTCATCTGCGAGTCCAGGCTGCAGCAGTGGGAGGTATCGCTCATGGAGAGCACTAACTATGCCCAGATCTTTCTTCATCTTAACATTCTGCACGACTCCATACTGTGGAAGCATTCCACAAACAAGTCACTGTGCAAGGTGTGCCGACGCGGCACCGATCCAGAGAAAATGCTGCTCTGCGACCAATGCAACGGCGGCACTCACATGTTCTGCATGAAGCCAAAGATGCGCACAGTTCCGGAGGGCAACTGGTACTGCCACACCTGTGTAAAGAATCTCGGCCTGATTAATGCCAGCGACGACAAGCAGCAGGAGCAAAAGAAACGCGCTGCCCAGAAGAAACGCAAGTTCATTGTGGACGAGGTTGATGAGGATGTCGATGAGGGTGTTGCAGATAGTGACGGAAACGATGAAGACGACGATGACGAGGGCAGTGATAATGAGGAAACTGAGCTCAGTGATGCACAAGATGATAAAAGCGAAGCCTCTTCTATATCCGTAAAGGCCAATGGTAAGGCAGCAGCGAAAGGCTCAAGTGGACGCCGCAGTAGCAGGCGATTGAAATCCAAAGAAATTGAAGATGCAATGCAGGAAGATGATGGTGAAGCCGCTGATGATGAATCAGTGGAAGCAGATGAAGCTGAAGCAGACGAGGACAACGAAGAGGAAGGAACGTAAGTTCTGAATTACTTAAACTATTGGGAACAAAATTTAATATTCAAGTTATTTATGCTTAGCGAGGATGAAAAGGTATGCCAGACATGTTTCTATGACGGCTGCGAAATTTGCTGTTCCCGCTGCTCCGAGTGGTATCATCTGGAGTGCGTCAAATTAAAGCGACAGCCTCGCACGGATTTTGTATGCAAAAAGTGCAAAACAAATGAAACACAACGCACCCGACGTCGCCCCAGTCATGGTAATGCTATATTTTGTTTTGTAAATGCCAGCTCGATCCAAATTATATATACATTTTATGTTAACAGTCGATGGCGATGCCGACGATGATGAGGATCACGAGGAGCCGCAGGCCAAGCGTGTGCGTTCCTCACGCAACTCGTTGCGCATTTCCCTGGACAAGTCTGCTGCCAACAATAATAATAATAATAATAACAATACCAGTAATAACAATAATAATCGTCGTTCAGGCCGCCGCACCAATGACAATCTGCCATTAAATAGCGCCGCCCTATACGATCTGCTAGAGCAGACGATGAAGCATCAGGCTGCGTGGCCTTTCCTGCGACCAGTTTTGACCTCCGAGGTTCCGGATTATCATAAGATAATTAAGACACCCATGGATCTGGCCAAAATCAAGTCCAAGCTAAACATGGGCGAATATCATTTAAACGAGGAGCTGCTTAACGATATCCAGTTAGTGTTCAAAAACTGCGATCTGTATAATATCGAGGGCAATGAGATTTACGAGTGAGTAGCTGCACGTCCTAATCCATAAGCAATTTATAATAATGCTGTTTCCTCTGATCTTTAGTGCTGGCTGCGAATTGGAGCGATTCGTTATGTCGCGCTGCAAGGAATTAATGCTACCGTTTAGGCCCAGTGACATGAACGCCGACTTAATTTAATAAGCCGTGTATGGGGTCTTTTTACGTCTCTCATGTAAATTAATTAATAAGCTTTAGGCCATAGACAAAGAACAAGCCAGCGTACATAATTAGACAGTATTGTTTAGCTACCAGTAATCAGATTAATTAAGAGTTAAAGGATTATCAGCCGCATTCTAAAGAACGCACTCTTTTTTACAGTCTGTAAGTATAATTAATGTTTCTACTTACGTTTCTCGCTTTTGTTTGCATTTAGCATAATCGTTCGAACTGCGAACTAAATAGTTATTAGTTACATTTTAGAATTTATTATTAATTGTACGCATAAATTATTGTAGACATACACACAGTTCACAGAATTTAGCATTCAATAAAATGAAAACCGAATACTTGCAACTTATCAAAGCTGTTTTCATTCGCAGTTGGCTAATAATTGTATATGTATATGATGTCTTGAATGAATCGGATCCTCTAATATACATCCATATATATATATATATATAAGTACGTTTAATGCGTGTCTTATATCTGAAAGTACGTTTGAATTACAATTACTATATATTATATATGATGAAGCATTTATACATTTACAAATTGCATGTCAGCTTCATTACTTTTTAGATCGATTGGCGGCAATCAACAAATTTCCGTTGTATTTTCGCTTTCTGTACTCGGTTTTTCTTTTAACGACATTCATAATATATTTTTAATCACATTTAACATTCAAATTTCATTTGCAATTTGTGAAAAAAAAAATTTACTATTTTATATGCTGTTTGCTCTTACTTCTAATGAATACATGAAAGATTATACTTAGAATGTCATGTTTTTTTTTGTATGGTTTTTGTTACTGCATTTTTTCAGAGATCAAAAAAGTAAAATAATATATATGTTTCCCAATGTTAAGGTTTGTATAAACTGCTTAAAGGAATTGCAAGCTAAGTTTCCTTCAATTCAGCTACTACATTTGGATTGTGGCTAAGCGATTCTTAAGTATTAAATCAAAGCTATTTCGAAATACCGGATATTTGATGCCATTGAAAGAACAATAAAACAATTTTCAGAATGGGTACATTAATTCGATCCAGTCATAGCTGTAGCTAAGTAAAAAAGTGTAGGTCTATGTTTTTCTTTTCAATCAGAAGTTTTCGGTGCATAAGGATACTGTGTTATATCCTTAAATATTCAATAAGCCAATTGTAGTAAGATTCAGAGAAACTGACAATAATGTAGTTAGGGAAAATCTAGATATAGGTATACTATCCTATTTGTAGAACTTAGGATCTTTTCGATTGAAATTGAAAAGTTTCTTGCTTTCTGCTAATTTTTTTTTTTTTAACATACATACACTTAAAGGAATAACACTCATTCCTGGCTTGCCAGTATACAATAGTGGATAGAAACCTCTTCTTGAATGTGTTTAAAAATTTGTTTGGGTTGCGACCGTCGATGTGGTTGGCTCCGAGTGGATACCATTGCGCCTTTTGTTGTTGTTCTCCGAGTTTGAGGTGCTCGGCGCCTGCGACAGTTGTGCCTCCATTGATGTGTTGGATGTATCATCATCGGGAGTGCTGTTGCTATTGCTGTTGCTGTTGTTCTCCTCGACAGTGTTCTCTTGGTTAACTTCCGGCTCATTGTCGTCATCATCATCCAGCCATTCGGTATCATAGGACATGGCGCTGTCAGTCTCCTGTCGACCTCGGCGTGGACGTCTTACATTGCGTCTTCGCTTGATGGCTGCGAAACGCAGCCGCATTAGCTTACGCTTGCGCTCCAGCTGCTCGAAACTGGCCTGCAGGGAGCCAACTACGGAGAAATCTTTTATATTGGTTATTATTGCAGCAAAGCTAAGTTGGGTACAACTATTTGGTCAAGTCATGCATAGGGAATGTACACAAATCGGAAGCTTGACTCTGCTTGGGCAAACAAAGCCCTGACACTTGCCAATAATTGGGGGTTTCGCCGTGTGGGCGTGGCTACTGACTGGGAGGTAAGCGGTCTATTGTTAGCCAACGAGCATAGTCAGCTGTCAAGAGTCACTGACAGTAGGCAAACAACGGCACCAGCCCAGGTGTCAACGCGCCATTGTTTGTCCACAAAGATACGGTCAGGAGGACAGGTCAATCGCTGGCGCGGGTCAAAAAGTTATTCAGTTTCGCTCACAATGTCGTTGAACGCACAGCTAATTATGTTAATCCTGGTGACAATAGCGAAACTAACGATTGGGCAGGACGAGGGTCGCGTGGATAGTTATGCAAAAATGTTCGAACCTATGCTGAGTCAGCAGGAGAGCACCCTGGAACTGCACTTGCGTAGCATGCGGGATGCGGATAATAGCTTTGTCCAGTTTCTACTGAGACAGCAGAGTAATGCAGTGAGAGTGCATGTTGCACAGGAAACGCCAGTTGCAGAACCGAGCGCAGCTCTAGTTTACGACGCCGTGATACACCATTTCTATATCTATGAGCAAGTGCACCAAATGCAGCAGCACCTAAAGCAGTTCACCAGCCAGGTCGGCTTTTATCTACTAGCACTGGAGCGATTGGCAGCGGATGAGCAACAGCTTTTGCAGCAGTTTATGGAGACAATCTGGCGGGTACTTGGTCACAATCGCATCTACTATGTGCAGATGGCAGCCGAGCGAGTGCTGCTCTACAATCCCTTTCTGCAGTGCGTGGTTCTTGCAGAGGATGAGCACAGCTATGAGCGCATTTACTCCAATCTTCATGGCTATCCACTGCGCGCATACATCTTTGACTCAGTGTACTCCGCACTTTACGAAGATGGCTCCACCGAACGGCTTCTACGTGCCACAGGGCCGGATGCCAATGTGGCAGAAACAGTTGCCAAACACCTTAACTTTACGCTGAACTACGTGTGGCCAGATGACGAGTTCTTTGGGTGAGTAGCTTTGTTGCATGTTAATCTGAAAGATTCATTTAAGTCACATGCTTATACCCAGTGGCCGTCAGCCCAATGGCTCTTATACTGGAGGCGTGGGTCGTGCACATCGTCACGAGCTGGACGTCATCTTTGCCGGCTTTTTTATTAAGGATTATCTAACGTCGCGCATCCAATTCAGCGCCGCTGTCTACATGGATGATCTGTGCCTCATTGTGCAGAAGGCTCAGCGTATTCCACAGTCAATTGTGCCCCTCTTTGCCGTTCGCGTGGATGTCTGGCTTTGTTTTCTACTCGTGGGCTTTGCATGCGCTTTCGTCTGGCTCTGCCTGCGCGGCTTGAACCTGGGCCTGCGCATCGAGTGCCTGACCGATCAAAATCGCAAGATTGATGATGGTCGTTTCTTGTTTATTGCCTGGCGCATCTTCATCGACACCTGGGTCGTGTGGGTGCGGGTAAATGTGAGACAATTTCCACCCTACAATTCAGAGCGTATTTTCTTGGCCTCGTTGTGTTTGGTTAGCGTCATTTTTGGAGCACTATTGGAGTCCAGCTTAGCCACGGCATATATACGACCACTGTACTATCGTGATCCCAAGACTTTGGCCGAACTAGACGACTCCCAGATGCCCATTTACATAAAGCATCCGGCATTCAAGGATGATCTATTTTATGGCCACGATTCGGTGGTTTATCGACGCCTAAACGCCAAGATGGTCCTGGTGGGAGAGGGTGAGGATCGTTTAATCAGCATGGTCGCCAAAAATGGCAGATTTGCCGGTGTCACGCGCTCCGCCAGCCTTGAGCTCAGCGACAGACGCTACATTATGACCCACAAGGTGCACAAGATACCCGAGTGCCCCAAAACCTATCACATTGGCTATGTACTGCCCAGGCCATCGCCCTATATAGATGCCATCAATACTGTGCTGCTGCACATTTTGGCAGGCGGACTTTTAGACCATTGGATAACCGAGATGAAGGAGCGCGCCAAGTGGAATATACACCATTATCCCGATTATTTGGCAGTTCTGGGCGTTGGACAGTGGAAAGTCTTGACGCTAACAGACATACAACTGGCTTTTTACGCATTGGCAATTGGATGCGTGCTGGCTGCACTAGTTTGTCTACTAGAGTTCCTGATTAAATAAAGATTTACGTATTATTGATTTACTTACTCATGCGTAGCTCGGGCGGCTTGCGAGGACTGCGGCTGACTGGCTGGGAAATTATGTCCCGTCGACTGCGTTCCCGAGCAGCCGCCTCTGCCGATGTGGTGGGTAGCTCGTCATCACCGAACAGCCGGTGCGTTTCCTCCAGCCATTCGCTGATACGCGCTTGCGTGGCTGCCTGCCGTTGCTCGCCCAGCAGCCGAGCCAGCAGCTGCTCCACATTGCGGTGCTGGCCTCCAGTGCCCTTGACCGCCAGCTGCAACAGTGCTCGCCGCTTTTTTGCTACCAAATAGAAGATGCGATTTGGATGCGTCTGCCAGCTGAGCTCGCTGACATTGGGTGTGTCAACTTCGCTCTGTTCCTCCGACTGAGTGCTGCTCTCGCTGCGTTCCGTGGACGTGCCCGAGCTGCTGTCGCTGCCGCTGGTGGTCTCTTGATCATTGTCGTTGCCGTTGCCACTGCTGCTGTTGCTGTTCCAGTTCTCCAGTTCACGTTGCACCAGCGTATCAAAAAAGGCCAGCATCACCTGGTCCTCGTCCATATTGCGCGAGCTAAAGTCTTGCGATACTTGATCGGTGGCGTTGCGATGAAGCATCCGTGTGCAATAGGGCGTATCGGATGGTTCAATCAGTGCACCCTCCCAGCCTTGCTGCGCAAATGGGCTCCAGAACTGTATAAAGCGACGCTTATATTTACCCAAGTTCAATAGTTGGACAGAGTCTTTATCTTACCTTGATAATCTTTTCCACACCCGACGAAGCCAGCAGGCAACGCTGGCGATTGTAGCGCACCTGGTTAACAATAGATCGATGACCAGTCAGGATAACAGGTGTCGTATCAATCCATTGATTCTTTTCCTCCACTAGAGCGTGATTGGTTAAGTTATCTGATAAATGACATTTTTCAGAGACTTACGGTCGATTCCGTCCAGCCGCCAGATGAACATATTAAAGTTATCCGAGCCGGAAACCACCAACTCGTCCTGCGGGCCAGCAAAGGTGCAGCTCTTCATGGTGCACGAATTGAAGTATTCATCGTGGTAAAACGAGCACAACGGGTCGGAAGAGCTCGGATTGTACAGAATGGGCGGCAAGCGGCGGTGTAGGGTGAGCAAGAGGCTACCATTGCAGTTAAAGCGCACACTCATGCAGCTGGGGGATTCAGTTATGTAGTTATACTGGCAAAGTGCCCTAAGAGAGTAAAATAAGGGTATTACAATGAATTTCAGGCAGGGCATAACAGATGAACCCACTGTGTATGGTGCCGCAGATCCCACATCTGTGCACCACGTTTGGCATTGGCTGTGGCCAAAAAGTTGCCGTTTAGTGGATGAAACTCGACTGCATTAAATGGCGTGCGAAACTTGGCTATGGCCAGTGGTTCATTCTTGCCCACGCGCAAATCATAGACAAGGACTTCGCCATGCTCCGTGGCCACACTAAACATATTGGTGCTGGTGCGGTCCACACTTAGGCCATAGACGGGTCCGTCATGAGAAAAGTAATTAAGATTCTTGCCGCTGGGTAGACAGGGAGCAGATAGGTTAGATGTGAGATAAGAAAGCCTTTGGTGACACTTACGTGCCCAGGTCGTGCTGTATGACCAGGTCATCATTGCCGCCGGAGAACAAATACTTGTTCTCTGTGTCAAAACCTAGGCAAAAAATGTTGCTCGCATGCTCCCCATACATAACGCTTGGATTGTCCTGGCCTACGTTTGCCAGCGTCTGATCTACATGCCAGAGCAGAACGCGCTTATCGTCTCCACCTGGAAGCCGGCAGACGAAATTAGCAGCCCGTAAGAGGAGCAACAGGTAGCGACTCACCCGATGCCAGGTACTCTCCACCATGGTTAAATTCCAGGGCATTAACACAACCATAGTGACCCGCGAGATTGCGCTGGTATAGATTCTCTGCGGCATGCAGGCGCTGCCTGAAGATGCCAGCCTCTAGGTTGCCTCGAAAATGCTCAAACTCCCGACAGCTAAGCGCATGATCCAAATTCAGGCTAGCAGCCGGGCCTCCTCTCACATAGCTCATACTGGAACTTTTTGTTCAATTTTCGACTGGACCTCGTTTAGCTACTGCCCCTCTACCCACTTGTTCGTCTTATGCATTTACAGCCTGTCGCTGTGGTAACAATTGTTCGGGTTCACAGGCGCTGCCGTTGCAACACAGTTGTATACATTTTGTCGACGCTGACGTCGCTGCTGACGTCGTCGTCGCAGTTGCACTTTTTTGCGTTGGCGTTGGAAGTTTTCAGCTTGTGTGTTCGCTCTATTGGAAATTTGAGGCACGACGACTGCAAATGTAATTTAATTTTTTATTTGTTTATTTGCCTTCTATCTTCCAGGAGCTACCTTTTCTTTTCTTTTTCAAATGGCGATTCAATTGACTTTTTCAACGCACAACTCCCGCAGCGATTTTCTCACGACGACTGCGACTGCGACTGCGACTCTCGACTGGTTTAATCATCGGAATATGCTTTAATCAAAATGAAAACAGAAAGTAGACGAGGAGCGTAGAAACAGCTGTTCCTCGAGCTGAATAGACATTAGAGATGGGCGCGTGCTGAGTCGACGCACGCAACGCAACTGTTTCAAATTGTTTCAAATCAAGAGAATTTCTCTAATTGGAGCCCAGGAACTGTTGCATCAATATGTGTATGGTATGCATACATACATAAGTATATAATTTCATTTAAAGTAGTTTATATGTAAAACTATCATTTAACTGATTTAATTTTAAACGAAACTTAAAATATATTCTCCCAACAAATTAAAAGCTTACAAAAAAGCTTATGTTAATACAGAAATTGTTGGTCTTATTAATGTAATAGAAAATGGATAGCCCAGATTTGTTATTAACCCTATCACATTACTATTATTAACATAAATATTATGTGAGGATTGTCAGCCGAGCTGCTTAACCAATACCTGAGATTTAAAACTTGCCCTCTTTGTATTGGAACAGTATAGGAATAAGTTATAAGATATCAACTGAACTTTCAAACAGAACGGTTTACAGTGGACTTTGGCTAATATATCGTTATATTCAGGCAGGAGCCTTAGAAACCTGATTCTAATGGCTGAGCCACTTATAGGAGTCATCTATATTTTGATATTTTTATGTTTAATTTTTTAATCTTGGTTGCAATGATTTTTAAACATATCACAGATCATACACACAGAACGTAGAAAATAAATTTTAGGTAATTTAAAATCATTTCGTGTTAGTTGGTTAGTTTGATTGAAATTCTTCGTATTGAAAATTAAGAACCCGCTAAATGGAAAACGCCGAAAACAATAAGGAGCTGAATGGTTTGTTGATAAAGATTCAATATGTCTATTATGCTCAATTACTCGCCGTTTAAACAGCTTTACCTAAAGATATTGATATTGAGAATACCCAACACATATGCCTTTACCTGCGGAATCTACGGAATCGGCTCAAGCAAACTATCCAGCAGCACACTGACTTGATTCAGACTTCAGTAAACATAATCAGGGAGATGGCTGACGTGTCCACAATGCTAGCAATGTCGCACTGCGGTACAGAGCAGCAGCCTACTAAAATCAAGCGTCTGATTATGGAGTTTGAAAACATGCATACAGGAGACAATGGCTTAAGCTCAATCGAGGCAACGGAACTACGTGAACTGCTCGCTGATTTTCGACGACTTCACGAGAGTCAACTGCTGCGCGATAGTCTAATGTGTTTCAAGCGCGCCAAGGAGTCATTCGAAAAGGTCGACACCTTGCTGGGCCAGTCTGTCCAAACTGGTGTCGGCGGATCGGGCCACCCATCGCCTCAGAGCAGTCAAGCAGTGGTTGGCAGCAATAGTGCTAGTCGCAGTCTTCGGGAGAAGATTCTGGCCTTCAACAAGGCCTCGGAAAAAGGCCAGAATATGCTGCAAAATTTTACGCATTGCTTTAGCAAAACGAGTAGTACGAATATTGTTCCTGCTGGTGAAACGCAGGCAAATCCGAATGCATCGCGTTCCCGCACAAATTCCGGGTACGAGGGTGACGTGGACAGTGAAGTCGATCAATCTGATGTCAAAAGTAAGGAACAAGTACTAAAACATAATGATTGATCCATATTTATGGTTTAAGTATATTATACACGTATATCATACCCAATAATGAGCTATGCCTAACATGGTATGTGTTTTAAATATTCTATTGTTATGACAAGGCGCAAGTAAAAAATAAAATATCTATATATTCACTAAACTATGTTAAAATCATCTAGTTGAGGATATTAAATCGGGCTGCTCAGCATTCCGACTCTGCGGACTGAAAGAAACGCGTATAGTTAATGGCAAAGAATATGGAGATAGCACCAATTGCCGAGCCCAGTTGGGTAATAGCGCCCACCCAGACCAACGACTGGCCGCCCTGGGCACGCATTACAGTCGTAATACCCAGCTTGGTGTAGCTGACGATTCCGACAAGCAAAGTCCACGCAGCTACCTGCAAAAGTGAGATACAAAAGATATCAATATGGACAATAGGTTCAACTCGATTCACTTACCACTAGCACGGCGCCAGCTGTTTGATCGTAGAGCGGTGGATATGGACTTAGTATAGCGGTGATAAATACATAGCTGGTGAGAAGCGCTGCCAGAGTCGAGAGTACATATATGATGCGCAGCGATGTAAAATATAGGAACATAGCCATAAAACAGGCCACTGGATTTGCAATAACACTCAGCGTTGCCGACAGGTGATAAGCGCGCGTTCCATACGGCGCACTCGAATATGATTGTATGCTGGGGAACATGCCGTTGCTGAAGAGAGAGATGGTACCTATAAGCAGCAGCAAGCCATTATACTGTCCACGGGTGAGCTGTTGCAGCTGCGGTTGATTATCATCCTGGCCATACTCATACTTGTTGCCCTTGCTGACAGTAACCTGGGCATATTCGCTCTTCGCCAGTGACAGATGATTGAGCAGCGTGTAGCCAATGTAGCTGAGTACCATCAGGCCAAATAATATTAAAAAGAATACCCTTGTGTCAAACAAAGGCGGTTCTGTTTGTTTCTCGTATATCGCCTCGCCCGACTCAGTCTCATTCACAAGCACACAGCGACCGGTGTCACCAATGCCCTGCACCAAAGCCGTGACGCTAGGTAGCAGGCCGCTGAGACCCTCGCCGATGAAATAGGTGACTATGTATTGTTCCTTGAAGCGTCCCATGTAGGGCATAAAGAGCACTGAGCTTGTGCAAGCATTGAGCGCGGTAAAGATGGTGAGTATGAAAAGCGCTACGCTGTGCTCACTGCCCGCCAGCGACGCCGTCCGGTTGTAGAAAAACGCGGTTAACAGACAGGACATTGTGCCGATTGCCAGGACTGCATGTATGGTGAAGCCATCGTTGAGCTTCCAGGGTGAGTACTTTTGATAGACAGTGTAGAGCAGTGGTCCCAAATTTCCTATTTGCACCATCACGCTCAGATAGGATGGCAGACTCCAGCCCTCGGGCGCCTCATTAACCAGCAGGGGCAGCTGTATAAAGGTGCCATTCACGCCCAGCCACGTGCCTATACCAAAGCATATGGCCAGCAGATCGACGATCAGATTGCGATTCTTGAAGACGCCGCCGGTTTTATGCTCCATCTTCTTGTTAATGGATCGCCAGTTGAAGAATGCACTTAGCTCGCTTGGCTCGTCTGTGGCGCATCTGAGAATAGTGGGTAAATCATTAAGATAAGATCCGTATACAACATTGTGTGTGCTCCATATTTCAGATGTACTTAGTTCCACTAAATGTCTTTTAACACGGTAAATGAGGCCGGCAGGTCGCTCATGAATTTGTACTTGTCGGGTTACACAATGCATTGGATGGAAAGTGTATAAACGGATCAGTCAAATATGTCAGGATCGATATACAAGTATTAAGCATGTATGTTTAAATCTTAATTGTAAATTTTGAAAAGTTCTCTAAAAGTTTTAAAGGCTATTTGAATGTTGCCCAATTTGTGTGACTAACTTTAATATACTAAGCTTAAAATACGTCTCCTAATACACACGTTACAATTTTTGTAAATGAAAAAGAAATGAAGTATTAGTGTATTTAAGCTTCGTTGTGAGTTATAATAATAATCTCACACTTATTCGTTAAGTTTAGAGATAGTGAACACAATATGTCTTTGTGGTAGGGTAATAGGAATGTAAATATGTATGTACGCAGAGAATACATTTGAGTGCACACACTCTTATTTAATTAGCCTGACAGGGCATATTTTGATGTATTGTGTTCGCATATGTGAGCAGGTTCAGTTTGAAAACTTAAACTGATAGCTGACCCGCTCTGAAATATGGTCAGCTAACTGCTCATTTTCAGGTATTCAGTAGTGTGTTGATGTGGTGACTAACTGACCGATTTGATACCAACGCACAGCTCACCCGTTAGACCTAGGAATCCGAAATTTTGATTGAAGTTACCTCATGGAATCTAAGGAAATATCGCGAAAACCTGTTGCAAAAAAACCTTTTCAAATTCATCCTTATGCAAATTCATTTAAAAGGTATTTTTAAATTTTCGGCAAATCCACACAGCCTTGGTTTCGGGTTCAATCTCATTTTCGAGGACCTTTTTAAACATTTATTTAACACGTGTTTCACACTTTGGGCAACATACACTCCAGTAGGATAAAAAATGCTCAAAGGGTCAAAGTTTATTTTTTGGCTTCGAGATATTCACCATGAGACTAAAATATGCAGATAACGTTAATTCACACTTCAAACTAATTTTCAAATATTTATGTAAAGTATAGCTGAAGACGTGGAGTTCAAGATAGTACAAGTACGTTTCAGACAGCTAGAGATAATTGTTGTGTGTTTGACTTGAAATACTTCCAACTGAAACGTTGAGATCTAATCAATGCAATTAAACAGGAACGTGCACGTCTGCAGCGCTCAAACTGAAGTGGGCAATTGTCATTTGGCTTTCCTCACGTAATTCAAATATTCAGATAACAACTGATTTGCTTTATGAGCACAACGTCACGCTGGCTATAAACAAAACTTTGATGCTGCCATGTACTATGACAAATCTGAGGTAAAAAAAAATGTGTCTGTGTGTGTATATGTTGTACTTGTGCTTTATATGAAAACGGAGGTCAGTAAACGTACATATATTAAAACAGGTTTTCATAACAATACACACACAAACGAATTCGCAGCCCTTACCTGTCGAAATCGTGGCGTTCCGCTCCGGCGTGGTTTGGCGTTGAGAGCACAGCGTATACTGCACCGGATTGGCTAACATTGTTAGCTCCAGACATAACGGTGTGTAAAAATACTCAAGAGTTATAGCTGGATTTACCAATTAATTTACGATCAATATGCCGATGTCGAGATTAGATTGCGCCGAAAATGTTTCATCAGATGGAGCTAGCACAGCTATAACAATGATTTTGATTCCTCGTCAGGTCAAAGTTGCAAGGCTTTAATTGCCAGTCAATTTCGAGCGCGGCTTAATTGGCGCGCACTCAAATAAAACTGATTGAAAGCTGAGCGCGTTCTCTTCTCGCATCCAATTTCAAGACAATTCCAGAGATTTTTGCTGATTCTTGTGATATGCTGTGATTAATGTTGGCATTTGGAGTCACAGCTACGTTAATGATGCATTCGAAGTTGTCCCGTTATGCAATTCGTCATGCGGCAAACGTTAGAAAATGAGCAATATTACGGCAAATCACTGCTTCGGCAGGGAGCGTGTTGTCTGAAAGAACTCCGATGGCCATTAGAATTTAAATTTTTATGTGCCCACCATAAATAAAGAATTCGAAATCTGACAAAGTGATAGAAAACAGCTGATGAAAACTGACCGGCGTTAAAATAACTAGAAGATAGCGCATTGCGCACGTTCAAAGTTCGATGCTCAAATGATTGAGCTTAAATGTGACGTCACGCACGTGAAATGTTAATGCGATGACTTAAACTACCTTTAAGCTTACAATAATATGAAACGTAAATTATCTTTATGACTGAGAAATCATTTTTTATATATTTAATTGATTTTACGCGTTCCATGAGTAGCGCATAGAATTTACAAGTCGTGACGTAACAGAGAGCGTTAACAGCAGACCAGAGGTGATTTGTGCATGGTATCGCAACGCACATGTATGCCACAGACAGAGAGAGCGTGATTTACAGAGAGGGAGATAAAAAGAGAACGGCTCATATTTTTGTTTATGCAGTGTCTTTATTGCCTTATGGACTCGCAGTCGCAAAACCCGGAACCTAATTAATGAAATACCTATAAGCGAACCGATTGATAGCATGATGAACATTGTAATGATAGCTTTAAGCTGATTAACTTAAAATGCACTACAGATGGTGCATTATGTGAGTCTCATATAAATAAAATGACATTTTAGTGTGCGCATAGCTGTTGATACCATTTTTTACTTTCACGGCAGCGATTATTGGTGCACATGGGGCAGCGCATTAAGAACTTCGGATTCACGGGCTGATTAGACTTCAGATGATCTGCCACAATGCTGCTTAGGGCCTCAATAAAGAGCGGATGATCATTGGGAGCGGCAGCGCGACGTATTTCCTCCACGCCCACCTCCTTGGCCAGCTCATCGCAGTACTCAATGTCCAGCTCGTGCAGTGTTTCAATGTGCTCGTTAACAAATGCAATAGGCACAAGTATGAAGTTCTTCAGGCCCTGTTTTACATATCCCTGCAAATCATTTGAGATTAGAGCCAAGCATAAAAGCATGGTTTCCAGAAATTGTTTACCTTGATGGCATCATCTGTGGCTGGTGCCAACCAGGGAAGGGGTCCCACCTTCGACTGCCAGGCTAAGCTGTAGGGATTATTTTGGCCCAATTCCTGCATAACCATATGCACACTGGCGCCAATCTCAGAGGGATACGGGTCACCCCTACTTACTGCCTTGAGGGGAAGCGAATGTGCCGTAAAGAGTATGACAACATCATTGCGCTTAGTCTCCACAAATTTGGCCAGCTCCTCACGTATGCGTTGCGCAAATGTCTTTATGAACAGCGGATGTGTGCCCCAGCGATCAATAATGCTCCATTTAATGTTGGCGGGTGGTGTGCTGCGAATTGGAAACTGGATTAGCAGGCTAACTTTCACATGAGCTGGCCATTTACTTTTCGCGGTAGTGGGTGAAGATCGAGTTGAAGCTGGAGCCGGATGTGGCGCAACTGTACTGTGGATACTGCGAGAAGAGCACCACACGGTCTGGCTTGTCGCTGCAGGAGAATATTGCATGTGGAATACATAAAATAAATCATTGATGTTGCTGTCAACTGACCTTTCGATCTGCGCAAGAGTATCCTCAGTCAGGGGATTGACATAGCGAAAGCCAACGTAATGCTTGTGCGGTGCCGTAGTTGGCGACAGTTTGTCCAGTTGCTCGCACATCAGTTTGCCCTGCAGCTCGGTCCATTTTAATATTGGCGAGCCGCCGCCAATTTCTTTGTACTTCTTTTGCACTTCTGGGGTGCGACGCTGCGCAATCCATGGACCGAGCCGGCTTTGCACCGGCAGCTGTATCATATCGCGATCCGTCATAATGCGCAACAGATAGTCGTGCACCTGATCCGTGTGTTGAGGTCCGCCCATGTTCAGCATGAGTATCGCAGTCTTTGCCTTCTGGCTACTGAAACGGACGCTGCTCGTGGCGAAATTAGCGACATTGCCTGTAAAGTAAACAATACAGTTGGTGACAGGGAGAGGGTATTAAACAACTTACTTGCCAGCTTGCATAGATTTCTGTTATGCAAAAACATTGTTTTCATTAAAACTAGACGAAGAGCAAAAATGCAACCGGAACTATTTCTCCAATGTTTATTTCGTACGTAATTTATTGTAGGTTCAACACCATTAAGTGCACAGTAATTGACGGCAAATGTCAAATGCTTTTATTTACCTTCAACCTAAAATTTAAATGAGTTCGCTATGAAAAGCTCTGAAAAGTAAAAATACGAAGTTGGCCCAGTTGGAAATTTTATTTAACAGCGACCAAAAGTTTAACATATGCTGAACTGTTATAAACAGCAAGTACACAACTTTGCCGCAAAAATATCGTTCTACATTTTGAATAGGACAAATTAAAAATATATTAAATAAATAAAATTTTACATCAATAAACAATAAAAAGTGATATTTTGCACAAGCTCTATAGAAAACTTCCTTTATAATAAAAACGAATATTATTGCACCTAATTTCTAATACAACTTTAAAAAATTATAATAAAAAACCTAGTGAGGAGTAATTCTGCTAAGTTAGTATTTTTTATGTAAGCAAAAATAATCATAACATTCTTGAAGAGCTGCCAGACTGGCGCAATGATTTACCGGCTACCATTGTTGAAGAGTCGTAAGACCAGCCAACTTAAGACGATATCGATTTAAAACCTCAACAGAAAGATATACGGGTAATTCATCCTCTTTTCGGAATATAATTCAAATCTATTGGTGCTCAGCAATCAATCGAATAATGTAAACTAGCAGTGTTCTGCTATGTCTCTGTTAATATTCGATTGGGTCCGTTCTCAGGAACCAGAGAGCAGCTGTTTTGATTCAAATTAAAGTCTATTTCGCTCAATATCTGCCATATAGAAATGAAATCTAACATACTATTTTTGATTTAAAAACTTTTCAATTTAGTAAATGTTTATTACTGATAATTAAAAAAGTTCTTACTTAACATATATAACGGCAGTTTCCGAGAAAAACAGGGCTCACTGTTAATAACAGTTCAGCAGAGTGCTAAGCTTGTAGATGCCTAACACATAACATAAAACAAACAGTGGTAGAAAATTGTAACGAATGGCAATCAGGGACTTAGTTCGTTAGTTCAGTTTAGTGAGTCATTGCCGCTCATCAATCAATCAATCAAATTGTTGATAAATAAAGCGAACACAAACAAAAAAAATTCTAAAAACAATAAAATAAGAAAATCTAACGCTTGTGAAGTACTGCAAATAGCATTATTAAATGCAACAACCACAAGTGCCCTAAACAAAAAGCGTCAACCGCCCCAAGTAAAGCGAAAAAAGCCACACGAACTATAGCGTGAGGGACTTTGAACGGTTGCGACTCTGGTGGTGGATTGCTGTGGGGTGGGTGGTTAGTGTTATCGTCTTTGCTCGCTATCGCCCACAAATAGCCAGCAGCGGCAACTTGCTCCAAATTTATAGGGCATGCGCAGTGCGAACACTCGCTCAAACGCTCGCTGGCTCGCTCATTGCCCAAACAGGATATTTTATTATACTGAAATTCATACCCATGCTCAGAACACTTGCACACACACACAAAACACACACATATTATTATGCGTGCTGCGCTGCGCTCTGTTAACGTAGGAGTAGCGCAGGAAATTCGCATATTCAGGCCAAACGCGTTGCGCTCGTAGTAAAATGCGGCTCATAAGCAAAAGCTCCGCACTGCCATTCGGACGCATTCCGTTGCCTGCTCCCACGTACACATTCTCACGCGTACACACATAGAAAAAGAAACACATCACACATACACTAACAACCGTTCGTACATGCATTCACATATACACGCGCAAAAATCAATTAGGCGCAGCTAAAGAAAAATCGGTTAACTGAAAGCATTTTTAGGCAGAAACGCGTTTAATCGCGTTGTTTTCAACGGCTCTGGCGGCCAAATAATGTACAAATTGACTGTGAAATGTGCAAAAGCGAAAAAAGCTCACAAGTTACGCAAAAAATGCAGCAGCGCCGCAGTCGCAGAAGCAAAAGCAGCATCGAGCAGAATGTGAAACGGAAACGAGCAAACGACCAGTGCTAATAATGCAAAGGATCTAAGGATGCGTCCGAGTGCCATTGACCACCGAACCAGCAATTTGTCATTAAAGCCTAGGTCAACAGCAACAACTGCCACTGCAACTGCAACAGCAATTACGTTTGCAACATAGCCCCAAAAGCCTCGCCAACTGCACCTGCTATTAACGCTGTCACCCGCCGGCAAACCCCCGACGCCGCCCGTAATCCACGTCACTATTGTTGTTGTTGTTGTTGTTGCTGCTGTTTGTGATTTCAGTTTTGATAACTAAACTCTAAAGTTTGTGCGGCTTAGGCAACGTCAAACAGCATCCAGGCACCCGGTCATCCAGGCATCCAGGCAGCATCCATCAGCACCAGTTGACAGGCAACGCAGTTCAGGTGAGCCCACCATTCGAATTGCCATTAAATCCCTTAAGCTTATTTTAGAAAAATTCTGATAGGTTCGTGAACTCTCATAGCAATGGAGATGATAGAGTGGAAAGGATGGGCAGAAATTCTCTGCTCATCATTGATATGTGGAGGTTAATTTTTGTAAATGTTCTAGTGGGGATTATTTTATATGCTAGTAAGGATGTATAGTGCGCCTAAGGATTTCTGTTCTACCCTGTGACTTTTTAAAATGAATAATATGGCTGTAATTAAATTGCGCAAAAGTATGCAACAGGCAGAAGGAGTCGTATATAATTGATCCAGCATTTGCTTCTGCAACGATTTTCACATGTCCGCCAGTCAACCTGTCGACAAGTTCGTTCATTTCCGTCATTTTCACCAGTCGAACCTAGAGACGGTTAAAGGTAGACAAGCCAAATTTTAGATATTCATCCACGTAAATCACATGCAGAACATGATTTATTTTTGGATGCCGCCCATACTTATCCGGTTATTACCGGATTGCAAGAAATTTTAAGATCTAGATATACATCATTTTATATGCAGGTGATCCCATGCAAAATTCCGTTTTAGACAGATTGCCGTGATTTTTGGAATATGCACACTTTGGGTTGTCATATTTATATCCTGAAATAATGATAAGGATCCGAAAACAAACACAGACGGAATGAACTAGTAGAATGATATGAAAAAAGTACAGGGTAGAGCAAATAAGATTATTGCCGGTGCCAAAGGAGCCCATTAATATTTGTTAAAGTAGTTTGAAGTTCGAAGGAAATATCCGATTCTGGTTTTCTCAGCTAAAAAATATGTACTTGTGTTGACCGATTTTAATTGGATACTAAACTGAATTGAGCTTCAGCCTTTTGTTGTATTTGTTGTACCCATTTGTATGTAGATATGTAAATCTTCTACATAACATAATTCCGTTAATAGTCATTATTTCAAATCAAAACTCTCTATTTTAATTGAAGCTAAGCAATATCCTAAATAAGAATCTCGAATACACAAAGAGAAAGAAAACATTAACTGCAACATTAACAATCAACAAAGCATTTTTAATTCTTTAGCGTTTTACGCCCGGCCTTATATTAAAAACAGCCACCCAACGAGCCCCCCAGCAGCACATAGAAAAAGTTGAGAGCTTTGCTCCAATTTTACAAGAAAAAGCGGAAAAACCATTTGAACAATGCAGGAAAAAATGCTACAAACATTGCAGCACAAGGCATTAAAGTCAGAGTTATGATATCAAATGTTATATAATGTTACAAACAGCCCCAACTCGTATAAAAATATTTCCATTGTAAGCGCACATTGAAAAAGTTTGCGTTTTACAAGTGTTGGGGGAAAAAACAGCTCGAAGTCGTACGAATGAAAAGATAATTAAAGCTGCAGGAATTATTAAACTTCTGTATAGTATTAAAATACAATTGTCATAATAGGTATAGATGCGTAAGACTGATACATTTCTTTTTAAGAAGCTTTAGGAAGCTCTTTTAAAAAATATTTGTAAATAAGTACCACGTCAAGAGACCAGATTCAAAATGCTTTATATTGGTTTAATTGTTGGCACATATAATTTGCAACTGGATCGAGCACTAAACCATCCGCAAGGAATGAATATCAGATTGTTTCTTTAATTTAGACAGTTTTTATTCTTATATATAGAGGTATGTATTTAATTGCTTGTTTAACAAACAGGATTGTTTATTTAATTTGAAAAGAGCTTTGCAGATTATTTCGTATAATACTATAATAACTGCCTCATCCATCTTAATTTTAGTTGTGTTTCAATGCTTGCCCGGTCCTGACAGCCGCAGCGGTTGCATTCACAGCAACAGACGCTGTATTAGTGAAAAATGTGAAAATTAGTTAGACTATAGGCCACATACCTTTTCCCAACGTTGGCTACCAATTATGCCGGTTGCTGTGGTTTTGTGTTTTTGTAATTCGTGCACGGTCCAATTTTAAGGTGAAAATTCCCCATCGTCCGTTGCTAGTTGCAAGTCTGGGCTCAGTGTCTGCATAGTGCATAGAGTGTTGCTGCAATCATATTTGAGTGCCAGCCCATGGGGCGTGTGTGATGGGTGTGTCAGTGCCGCCCAGTGGCGACTGGTTGGTGGTTTGTCACTCTGTTTGAGGCTGTAGGCTGGTGCCACATGCAAGTTAATGTCTGCGTTCCATGACCAGAGTATGACAGCAGTTTTAAGCGGCTGCTAAAATAATTTCAACATCGCGTCAGGGTTAGACTAGGACCCAAGCAAAGAAATCGAAAAAGCGGCGTGTGCATATATATATAATATTTTATCGCCTGGCTGCAAAATTATCTCTATTTTAGTACCCTGTGCAAATATGACATATGTGACTGATGTCGCATCTCAGAGACTGTTTTCTGAAACTGCTTTCAACCATTTTAAATATACGGGTACGATTATGTTGTTTGCAATATAGGATATGCTTTAGTTAACTAGGCGTATCTACACAACTCTTCCTTTGTTTATTCTTGTAAATCTGTAGTGCAAACAGTAGATATCTCTTTCATGCAATCCGGTTATATAAAATATTATATTGATATTCGCCTAATATAGTGTGGAAAAAGTTTTTTCAGAGCAAATAACGCTATTGAATTGTTTCTGTATTTATTGTATGATAAATGGTTTGCAATTTTTGCGCTCCCAGTGGGCGGAGCTTTATAACACACTTATTCATCCACATACTCAAATAAAACCATATGCACACATATGAAAGCAAGTTGGGTATGCGAAAAAAAAGCGAAAACCTCGCTGGCGGAATTTATGATGTC